TAATACTACTTCTAACTCATAGAAATAACAGCATCATGTCTGATGTTAGAAACATGTAAAACTTTGTTAGGAATATTAAGGCATAGATTAAGAAACACAAATTTATTTCTTTTTCATTTTTTTCTTTATTTTTCTGTCAGTTATGGGGCTTGAACTCAGGGCCTGGGGACTGTCCCTGAGCATTCTTGCTCAAGGCTAGCAATGGTAGAGTGCTAACCACAGCTCTACCTCTGGTTTTTGAGTGGTTAATTGGATGTAAGAGTCTTATGGACTTTCCTACCTGGTCTGGTTCTGAACCATGATCCTCAGATCTGAGTAACTAGGATTATAGGCATGAATCACCAGTTCCCGGCTCTCAAATTTCTAAAATGTAACTTCCATAAGCCTAAGGTGAGTACATCTACTTGGAACCACGTATTGTTATTTAATTCACAGCTATCAACATCAGGGAAATATATACTCTCAGAAAAGTTCTTGTATCCACTGAAGACAATTCCGCATGGCACAAGTTCATTTGTAATTGTCTCTGGCCATATCTTTCTCTAGAACATAATCAGGAACAAACCTCATCTGATCATCATCTTCACCGGGTTCCTAAATCTCCTTGACATATCTCACCTCTGGGTGTGTGTGTGTGTGTGTGTGTGTGTGTGTGTATGTGTGTGTGTGTATGTATCTGTCTGTCTGTGTCTGTGTGTCTATGTGTCTGTGTCTGTGTATCTGTGTCTGTGTGTGTGCTCCAATTCTGGGGCTTGAACTCAGGGCCTGGGCACTGTCCCTGGGCATTTTTGCTCAAGACTAGTGCTCTACCTCAACTCCATTTCTGGATTTTTGATGGATAATTGGAGATATGATTCTCATGGACTTTCCTATCCTAGTTGGCTTCAAACCTCAATCCTCAGATCTCAGCCTCCTGAGGAGCTAAGATTACAGGCATGAGCCACCAGCACCCAGCCATGGCTCACTTCCTCTTCATCATTCTTTTCCAGAAGTTTTCCAATGCTATTCCCTGTGTTTCCATAGTAATTTCTTCTGTGCCTTTGTAATATTATATTTTCTGGTGCCTTATCTCATGTGGAAACACCAGGATAAAATACTACTATATTTCTGATCTACTAAGAGAAGAACTTCAGTTTCTGCTTTTCAGATAAAAAAAGTTATATTACTCAAGTAACTGTAATCCCTCTGTACAGCATCTTCACAATAAAACAAAATTTTAAAAATACACTAATATTGAACAGATTCCTGAGGGTTGTTTTTATTATTAACAATAATATAATTTTACTGATCACCATGGAAGCAAAAAAACACACACCAAGCCCTCCCATCTCAGGAATTTGTTACTCTTCAAATATCTCTAAAGTAGTCAGGCACTGGTGGCTCATGCTATAATCCAAGCTACTCAGGAGGTTGGGATCTGAGAATCTCAGTTCAAAGTCAAACCCTTATCTTCAATTGACCAGTAACAAGCCAGAAGTGGAGCTGTGGCTCAAGTGTTAGAGCACAAATCTTGAAATGAAAAAGCTTTTTGAAAGGAAAAGTGAGAACACAAGGCTTTGAGTTCAAGCCCCAGTACCAGCACACATCATCAGCACAAGGACAGTGATTTGAATAGTGTAATGCACACAAAAACTATTTCTACATACCCAAAATTATATTATAGACATTGCGGGTAAAGTATTTTCTCTTTGTTCTCTGTTCTTATATGGCATAATACCTGTGTATTCATTCAGGAAATATTTATTGCCTACAATTTGTCTGGCATTGTATTATGGGCTGGCATGGCTTTAGAGAACAAGGCAGAGATGTCGTTCTTTTTTTGGGGGGTGGGGGGTCCAGTCGTGGGGCCTGAATTCTGGGCCTGGGTGCTGTCCCTCAGCTCTTCAGCTCAAGGCTAGCACTCTACAACTTGAGTCACAGCACCACTTCCGGTTTTTTTTTCTTTTTGCTTATGTGGTGCTGAGGAATCAAACCCAGGGCCTCATGCATGCAAGGCAAACGCTCTACCACTGAGCCACCTTCCCAGCCCCAAGAAATGTTGTTCTTAAGGAGTTTACATTCTGGGAAGTGCTATTGATACACAAGCCATAGGCCAGAGACCTCGTAGGTTAGAAGAGGGACAAAGAGCTCACCCACGCTCACATAGAGGTCAAAGGTTGACTAGAGGTGGATGTAGCCAGTTTGCAGAGTGAGCAGGGAAAGTTAAGGAGGAAGACAGGAGGAAGAGTCTTTCCTCCCCAGTGGTGTAGACTAGGAAGGAATAATAGAAAGGCTAGGTCAGGATCTCATTCCCATCCAGTAGGCTCCAGCACAGAATAGAAAGTAGGAGAAGAAGAAAGATCTTGGTAGATTAGGTTTTAAAAAATTGTAGATAATGGAGTCCCACAATTAAATATATTTAAGCAGGAAAGTCTTCTTCAGATAGAGTTTAAACCCTGCCAGAAACAGACTGAAAAATAGTTCTAGTTATAAATAGGAAAAATTCATCCCCAAAAAAGGAGAATTAGAACAACAATACAGCCTAAAACCCAATGATAGGATTCTTCATGCTACTTGTATTCATCATAAAGGAGAAAGGAATACCTGGTATCAGAGGGTGGCTCACACCTGTAATCCTAGCTACTCAGGAGCTGAGAAGAGAGGATCATAGTTCAAAGCCAGCCTGGGCAGGAATATCTGCAAGACTCTTACCCTCGATTAACCACCAGAAAGTTGGAAGTGGCACTGTGACTCAAAGTGGTAGAGCATTAGACTTGAGCAAAAAAGCTCAGGGAAGGTGCCCAGGCCCTGAGTTCAAGTCCCAGGATTGACAAGAAAAAAATGATACTGAGATCCAGAGGATCAAAGTTCAAAGCCAGCCCAGGCAGAAAGTTCAAAAGATTCTATCTCCAGGATCACCAACAAAAAACAAAGCTGGAAGCATGACTCAGGGACAAGTAATAGAGTGCAGCTAAGGACAGAGATGGAGAGAAAGAGAGGAAGGAAGGAGAAGTTGACCAATTTTTATTAAACATAATAAATACCATAATAGGAAGAATAGGCTGACATTCCTAAACTTTAATTTGTTTCTATGTGGATAATGCATATTTCTCTAATTTATGCCTTGTAGTAAAAGGACAGTATTTAAAATGACATAAAAAATGCGTAAGACTTACCCAAGATCATAGCAAAAGTAACTTAGGATATATCAGAAGTTGATTTCTAAACACTCTTTAAAAATCTTTAAGACGGGCTGGGGAGATGGCTCAGTGGTAGAGCACTTGCCTTGCATCCTGAGGCCCTGGGTTCGATTCCTCAGCACCACATAAGCAGAAAAGGTTGGAAGTGGCGCTGTGGCTCAAGTGGTAGAGCGCTAGCCTTGAGCTGAAGAGCT